GAAGGGGTGGGTGGCTGGGATTTTTTGTTTGTCTGTTTGTTTTTACTGAGACGAAATAGACTTAAATGTGGTTCTTGGGGGCTTATTAACATGGATAAAAATGAGAAGAAACAGCATGAAGAAGCTGCCTTTCCAAACGACACTAGGGTCTGGCGGGAGGAAGCGGCAGCTTCAGCCAAAATCTTATTTTAAAAAAAGGTAAAGCTGAACCTTGCTCGAGTCCAGCCGTCAGATTTCACTCGTGTTCTGGCAGAATAGGGAGACACTCGTTAGAGCTGGTTTGGGGTATTGGTGCGGGTTATTTTGTAAATAAGCCGGTGGGTTTTTAATGGATAGCCACAGAGGAGGGAAGGGGAGAATTGTCCACGGGATTTTCCGGTGTAACGAACGAGAGTTGTCTCATTTCGATCAGTATCTCCCTCCTTCCCACATTGCCATGATCCCGCATCGCATGCGGGCAAAGACAGAGCGGAGAACCGCGCTGACCCACAGAAATTTCGCAGGGAAGAAACACAAGGGGAGAGCTCTAGAAATGCCCCTTGGAAGATGAGCTGTGGGGAGCTGATGCAAACTGAAACATAACAATAATCATAAAAGCCCTTTCTCCAAGCATGGTGGTCATTAAAAATAGATGGAATCCGCTTGATAACATCCAGGGGAGAAATCCTGAAAGCTTCCTTGCAGCTCGCCCCACTGGCTGCCGCTCCCTTCCCCACCCTCCAGCAAAAATGGACTCGACATACTGTATTTTTCACCTACCCCTCATTGTAGCTGCGCTTTAGGCAGCCATTTCATGTCTTCATTTTCTAATATCAAATCTTGGGAAGGATGGCGGGTGGAAAGCTTCTTTGTGAGGCTGGGGGGCTGCCCGTTGTTCCCTTCCTGCGAATCTTCAATGCCTTGAGATGTATGGGGGGATAAAAACACGAACACAACATGTAGGACCTAAAATATCGTGCCAGAGGCTGCGTACTGTATATAGGATTGTATATGGGATATATACCGATCAGCTGCAACCTGAAGTCCAAAGAGGCTGCTGTGGCTCTGTGTGTAGGCACCGGGGAACATACCAATATACATACATGTTGTGAACACACACACAGACACACAGCACAATGAAGAATTCCCTACATGCACCTAAGGTCTCAGCTGGAGCGCCTACCATTGCTGTGTGTGCGTGAGCATCGATAGCTGTGTACACAATCATGCATGTAGCTTGCACAGATGTACACAGCACACTTTGTCTAGGTGCATTCGGATACGTGTGTGTATTTGTGTGTATCGAACTGAGAGCTGGCTCCACAAATCCATCTGCAGGCTGGGGCTCAATCTGTCTGTATCAGACAAACAAGTGGGAATGGATCCTTCTCTCTGTGCATCCCCTTCCCTACCCATTGGGCTCTGGGTGAGTGTGGATGTGCCAATAAGCACAAAATGCGACATATTGCAGCCCCGCGAGCCGGGCAGATCCACTGCTCCAGTCAAACATAAACAGTTTTGCGCTGGGACCGCAATCTCAGGGCGATAAGCTGAGCAGGGGCGGGTTTTTTGTTGTTTTTTTTTTTCTCCTCCTGCCAATTTGATAAGGCTGGAACCGCAACTCTGATTGTTCGAGATGGCTCTGGGTGCTTTTGTGATTCCTAAAAAAGCATAAATAATTAAAGTTTGGCAGGCAGGAAAAGCTTTCTTGCAGAACTGTAGCGGCAATAAATGAAATGACTCAGAATCTCTTCTCCAGTCAGTTTTTACGAGAGCTGCCAGACAGTGTCTGTTCACGTTCTCCAGATACTAGGGGCGCCATAACAAAGTTAAGGTCAAGTTAGTGTCTTATCTTGGGTGGCACAAAAATACCGCATCTTCTCCGGCCGGACTGGGGATATTTTTAAATGCGAATGTTATGCGAGTCGTCTTAATTTTCACCGAGGGCTCTTGGAAATGTCACTTGGACTAGAATACTGGCTAATTCGAGGCATCGACTGCAGATGCTCCAAGACACCTAACGGTAAAGTATCGCCTGGATGGGTTCGTGGGATGCATGTGCGTGGTCCTGCGGTGCGATCTGCGGAGCAGGAGCAGAGCCAGGCGCTCGGAGCCGGACGAGGAGCCTCCCCGGGGTGGAAGTGCCTTGGCAGCGACTGGCTCGCCCGCCTCTCTCCCCGCAGCGGGGGCTCTGCGGGGGCACTGGCGGCGCTGCCCGACCCGGGCTGCCTTTCCCAGGGTTTCTTTCGGAAAAGAGCCGTTTTCGGGTTAGCAAACCGCCGCCATGTCTTTGAACTTGAATGGTTTGGAACTGGCGGACGCCTCCGCCAATGCTGCAGGGATGCTGGGGCTTGTGCATCGAAAGGGAGGCGCAGGGCACCGGCTTGAGCTGCCTGAAGGGGCTCAAGGGGGCAGAAAATGCAGCTGCCCAGGTGCCCAGGACCGCGGTGCGGCCGGAGCCCGGGGGCGACCCCGAGGGGCAGCGCGGAAGGAGGGTTTGCCCCGCTCTGCTGTAGGCGCAGGGGTAAGTGACACAGGAGCCATTTTAGCTGCGCAGCAGCCTTTTTAGAAGCTGCAGCACAAATCGGCCGGGCTGGGCAGCCCCAGGAGGATGGGGACGGAGACGGGGACGGGGACGGGGACGGGGACTGGGAACGGGGCCCGGGCCCGGACGGACTGTCTGCGGTGCAGGGACCAGGCGGCTAGCTGCGGTGCTGGCGGGGAACAGGCGAGGCCTGGAGCAGCAGGCTTGTGTGCGGGGCTCGGGGCCGGCGGCCTGGCTGCGGGAGGATGCGGAGCTCGGGCTGAGTCTTGCATGGTCTGGGCAGATCCAGAGACTTGGCGGGGGGAGGGGGTTGTTGTGGTGGGGGGCATGGA